GGATGCATCGTTGGACCTAGCCAATCTCGCAACCTTCGACATGCTGACTGCTGAGCAATAATCAGCAGAAAGCTCAACCTAAAGGCAGGATATTTGAAGAGTTGAAAATGCATGCATTCAACCTGAAACATGAACTTCATCTCTCCCCCCCCCCCCCCATCTCAGGATGACCCAACCGCGTGTGCGGCGAGCCCTGTCACCAGTCACCACCTGGCACCTCCATTGGGTCAGGGGGTGGGTCAGGGTCAAAGACAAAGGTCGTCGGGCGCAAGGCCCTGTCAGGCGCCCCTCGGGGTGCCAACTTCCAGCGACAGGGCGAGAAACACAAACGGGAGCACTTACCTTTCAAATGGTAACTGAAGCCAAAGCAGATAGCCGCGACGAGTCAGGTAACATTGAGGTCCTCGCCAATAACATAAATTTCAAGATTTTCAGTCACTCCAGTCACAACACCCCTCCAACCTCCACCCTCAAACAAAACCACGCGAAACACGTGCGCACTCACATGTCAGCACTCGACACGCGCACGGTTGTAAACACACAAACAATTTGGTAGCCGTGTCAACTTTACATGTGAAGGAAATATTGCGTGCTCGATAAGAAAACATTTCAGAGTGCTCGCCTTTCATGATCCTTTATCAGTGGCGGCGGAATAGGGGGTGCAGGGGGTGCAGCTGCACCCCCATCGAAAAACATGGGGGTGCAAACATATCTTTTTGCACCCCCAAAATCCGTACAAGGGGCCCGTCGCACCATCCAATACATTTTCTTCTGAAAGCCAGTGATCGGGAAACGAACACTGATGTGGAATCATCCGGGATGTCCAATTATGGTCAGGAGAGCCCCATGCTAGTCTTTGGGGCCCCCACACCGGCTAGAAGTGTCCCGAGCCGCGTTTGATGCTCCATGCGGCATCTGAGGGCCCCCACGATGGCCTCAGAGGGCCCTTTTATGATGATCTCTAAGGGCTTCCACGATGACCTCTGTCCCCTGAGGCCCTACAACGGCCACTAAGGGCCCTCATGACGACCGCTGAGGGTCCCACAGAGACTCCAGGGCCCCAAGGAGACTCAAGGGGCCACGCTGGCCTCTGAGGGCCCCTATGACGGCCTCTGAGGGCCCTTACGATGATCCCTGAGGGCTCTCACGACGACCTCTGTCCCCTGGGGCCCTATAACGACCACCAAGGGCCCTAATGACGACCGCTGAGGGTCCCAAAGGACTCCAGGTGCCCCGCTGGCCTCTGAGGGCCTCTACGACGCGCGACGGTCGCTGAGGGCCCTCGTGACGGCCCTAGACCCAACTCAAGTCTGAGGGCCCATTTGGCTTCAGACGGCCCAGCGACAGCCCCAACACAGCCAGGCTGCAGGGGCTATGCTGGCATCTGGGGGCCTGCAACGGTCTATTGAGGGCCCTAACGATGGCCTCTAGCGTTCTTACCAAGGCCTCTGAGAGCCCTGCAAAGGTATCTGAGGGCCCATGAAGACTCTCACTATGGCCATGGACCCTCATGACGACCTCTGATGATCCTCTCGAAGGCTTCTAAGGGTCCTCACAACAACTTCTGAGGACCCCAAGATGGTCCCTAAGGGGCTGAGGGCCCTGACGACGACCTCTCTGAACCCTCACGATGGTCTCTAAGACCCAACGGAAGCTCCAAAGGCCCACGCTGGCGGCTGAGGGCCCCACGACGGCCTCTGAGGGCCTCGACGCAGGCAGGCTCCAGGGGCCATGCTGACCTCTGAGGGCCCTCTTGACGGCTTCTAGGGCCTAACGAAGGCTTCAAGGGCCAACGCTGGCCTCTGAAGAACCCTACGACGGCCTCGGAGGGCCTCAACTTAACGCAGGCAGGTGCCAGGAGACATGCTGGCATCTGAGGGCCCCGCAGAGTTCAGATTCAGAGGGCTCAACGACCTTTGTGGACCTTACGAAATACGAAGGTCTCCGAGAGCTCACGCAGGCTCCCAGAATTCCACAATGATTCTCAGGCCCCATGTCGGCTTGTTGAGGCACTTTATCTGCTCTTGATGCCCCGTCGCCGGCCTCTGAGAGTCTCAATGTCGGAACTTATGGGGGCCATGGGCCCTACACCGGCTTTTATGGCCCCTACATCGACTCTTGGGACTCAGGACCCATGAAATGTGGGTCTACGCGGCTTCTAAGAATCCCCATGCTGGTTCTAGTAGCCTAGTAGCAACCAGCCGGATATTTGGGCTCACACGCGAGCTTCTGGGACCCCGTGCATATACCCCAGTGGTCTACCTGCCTCTAAGACCCCACACATACTTTTGGGGCTCAAACGCTTGCCCCTGAAGGCCCCACTGACACTGAGACCCCCTTTACCCTATTCAGTCCTCCATACCGGCTCTTTAGGCTAAGCATCGGCTCCTGTGGCCTCCATCCCGGCTTTGGAGGGCCTCCATACCTACAGGCTTTTTTGGGGTCCGATGCTGGTTTCTGAGAGCCCTCAAAAGACTTTCGGGCCTATACTGCCTTCAGGGCCCATGAAGACTCTCACTATGGCCATGGACCCTCATGACGACCTCTGATGATCCTCTCGAAGGCTTCTAAGGGTCCTCACAACAACTTCTGAGGACCCCAAGATGGTCCCTAAGGGGCTGAGGGCCCTGACGACGACCTCTCTGAACCCTCACGATGGTCTCTAAGACCCAACGGAAGCTCCAAAGGCCCACGCTGGCGGCTGAGGGCCCCACGACGGCCTCTGAGGGCCTCGACGCAGGCAGGCTCCAGGGGCCATGCTGACCTCTGAGGGCCCTCTTGACGGCTTCTAGGGCCTAACGAAGGCTTCAAGGGCCAACGCTGGCCTCTGAAGAACCCTACGACGGCCTCGGAGGGCCTCAACTTAACGCAGGCAGGTGCCAGGAGACATGCTGGCATCTGAGGGCCCCGCAGAGTTCAGATTCAGAGGGCTCAACGACCTTTGTGGACCTTACGAAATACGAAGGTCTCCGAGAGCTCACGCAGGCTCCCAGAATTCCACAATGATTCTCAGGCCCCATGTCGGCTTGTTGAGGCACTTTATCTGCTCTTGATGCCCCGTCGCCGGCCTCTGAGAGTCTCAATGTCGGAACTTATGGGGGCCATGGGCCCTACACCGGCTTTTATGGCCCCTACATCGACTCTTGGGACTCAGGACCCATGAAATGTGGGTCTACGCGGCTTCTAAGAATCCCCATGCTGGTTCTAGTAGCCTAGTAGCAACCAGCCGGATATTTGGGCTCACACGCGAGCTTCTGGGACCCCGTGCATATACCCCAGTGGTCTACCTGCCTCTAAGACCCCACACATACTTTTGGGGCTCAAACGCTTGCCCCTGAAGGCCCCACTGACACTGAGACCCCCTTTACCCTATTCAGTCCTCCATACCGGCTCTTTAGGCTAAGCATCGGCTCCTGTGGCCTCCATCCCGGCTTTGGAGGGCTTCCATACCTACAGGCTTTTTTGGGGTCCGATGCTGGTTTCTGAGAGCCCTCAAAAGACTTTCGGGCCTATACTGCCTTCTGAAACCTTTCAGCAACTTTCAAGGGACCGACCCTGATCGGAGGGCTCATTCAGTCTGGGGAGTCATGTAGGTCTCTGGAGGAGTCTTTATGTGGTCGGTTTCCAAGGGGCTTCTAAGCACGGTCTTCTTGGAACGGTCTCGTAGGGCCCTCAATAGTTCACTGCGGATCCAGAAAGTGGCTTGAGACGCTGCGGGTGGTGGCTAGACTAAAAGATTAGCCAATAAAAAAATAGAAAAAAACTAGCTGCATTTGCTTCTTTATGCTTTCATTATTTGAAATAGGTAGGCACACTGCAATTTCAAACCTTTTACAGATCTTATGTGTATGGGGAGAGTTTTCCAAAATCTTCGTTTTTCATAAATCAATAATAATCACTCAAAAAAAAAAATGAATGGGGGGCCCAAAACTTCCAGAGGGGCCCCTTGAGAAAACATGGCACCCCCATCCAAAATTACCTTCCGCCGCCACTGTCCTTTATGGTCCTCAGCCCATTCGTGCTTAAGCAAGTATTTCAACCGAACTTTCGAAATGCTTTGAGTTAGCGGCTAGTGGCTACTGATTAACCACCTGTCCTTTCCTCATCATTTATAAATCACTTTGCCTTCACCAACGCTACATTTCTTTATCAACAACAGAACGCAAGCGGCCTCCTGTAGATGGCAGAGGAAAAATCTGATAGATGTCGCACCACTACAGTCAGGGCAGCGGCAGCTCTGCAGGATGCTTTCGGGGCCCCCGTACCGTGCATCACCAGAAACGAAGGAATATGTCGTGATGTAGATCCATTTTGGGGGGAGGGATGCATTGACCACTGACAAAGCCCCTCGCAAGAACGTTTATAAAAGCACTGCAAATACGTGGCGACGCCGCAGTAGACATACCTAACACCTGCTCGACTTTCACACGTCCTCGGTTCTAAGCGATGTTCCAGCCCCCGGACATCGTCAGGGGCCAACCCACTCAGTTCCGGCGAATTATGATGCAACTCGAGGTCGAGTGACCTGTGGCATCTCTGACCCCCCTAGACGCAATGCAACCTATCCCCGATACGTCTACTGGTCAAACATAGCTCCTTCCGGACTAGACTCTACCTATCGCTCTTTGCGGCTTGCGCTCTATCAGCATCAGGTATCGCACCACCATAAAGCGACAAGCGTGATTACGCCAAGCACGACCTTGGCGTGTGATTCGACTTCCACCAATCTCACCCCAAGTCCCGGTGATACGGTCAAGGTCCGGGTTTAAAAACTAACCTCGCTTAGGAACCCGACAGACCGTCATCAGTTCATCACCAGCTAGTTCCCCCAACCCCCACCCACTCAATGACGGGGCACACACAGGGCGGATTGGGCGGGCCGCGACCAGGTCAATGCCGGCGAGTTGCGTTCCGGATTACACTGTCACCCCCCCCCCATCCCCCCTGAGTTCAGAGCGGCGGGGCAGACATCAGTGTAGTACGCGCAGTGGGGCCACAGGTGTAGCACACAGCCGCAGCCGGACGGTACGGGAGGGTAGGTCGGGAGAACGGCGAGAGACCGAGAGGGTGAGATTGTGAGGTGAGACTGTGAGATACTAGAGTGAAATAACGTGAGATGCCAGAGTGAGACGGGGAGACAGTGAGATACTAAAGCGGTGAGACGGTGAGCGGAAGGCAGCAGCGGTGGTCGTCGTTGGACGGTGACCGGTCAGCTGAGGTCACGGCGGCGACCTAAGCACACAGGGGAGACACCATGAGGTGTGGTCTCGCGGTGATCATATCAATGTGTAAGTTGAAGTGGCGATGGATCGCACTTGCATCTCTATTTTCTCTGCCGGCTGCCTTCCTCTTATAAATAAGTATTCACCGTTTTCTACCAAAGCAAAAGGAGATGTCATCACTGAACATTCTTTCCTAGTTTCCACTCGCCTCTCTGTGGACAATCACTGTGTCGACTAGTGTTGTACTACGCCGGCAATCACTAATCACTACTGACGTAGCACATCGAATGCAGCCCCGTAGAGCGCCCGCCCAGTCACATTGTCAACTCATCCACGTCAATGACGGGCAATTATAGCTTATTGTGCGCTATGGCCAAATGCTGGGATATGCCCGAGTTCACGGTACGGGTTGATGGAAACTCAGCTACAAAGTGCTGCTGATAACCAGGTGTTATATCATCGTGTTCACCATCGCGAGGCATTTAGCACGGTTCGAATCACCGACGTGTCCCCTGTCTCCAGTCGGGGCACTGCAGCTGTTGCAGCCGCTACAACCGGCGGCAGCTGCTCCCAGCCTGCTGAACAGCTCCGAGCGAGATGAGCACACTCGAGCAGCCCTGCATAGGTTCTGTCAAACGTACGTAAAAGGGCAATCATTGGTAAGTATCTTTGTCAAGCGGTACGACACAAACTTCAAAGTTTTCCTTATTCAACGCAGATAGCTTGACGAATCTCAATTAAATTTCAGCAGTGAACTGCGCCTACGCAGTTGACTACTGAGTCAAATTACAGGGGTCACTTGTGACAGCCTGCGGCACATCAGTCCGGGTCTGACCTGTAGCACCTCCTGTGGATGTCCGTCAAGACAGCCCATATTCAGCCCAGATTCAGCCCGGATTCAGCCCAGATTCGGGACACCTCCGATCAAGCTGAAACTCGCACACAATGTAGGCCATGACATGCCCAATTCACAGTCCAAGTCATTCGGTGGCACTCCCAGCCGTTTGACCTACAGAGGTCAGCAAAGGTCACGTGGCCCAAATTTGCACAGCAGATTGTGGCCCACCCAGTAGAGCTAGAGCGCTAAAATGGCACCAATCGACTCGCCAGCATCTAATCTTACTTTCCCAACACGCATTTGACCTCTCAAGGTCATGCGATGACCTAAGGTCATTTGTGGGCTATGTCGAAAATACACTTGCACAGCAGTTTTCGAGTAGATGGATTGACCGAATTCCAAATCAAAGCACATCATCGGGTAGCCCATAGGCCGTAGTAACTTTCCTTAAGAACCGCTTTTCGATATGTGACCCCGTTTGACCTTGGCAGGTCAAAATGTGCAAATAAACGACACTCAATACGTCGCAGCCCGGATTCAGCCCAGATTCGGGACAGCTCCGATCAAGCTGAAACTCGCACACAATGTAGGCCATGACATGCCCAATTCACAGTCCAAGTCATTCGGTGGCACTCCCAGCCGTTTGACCTACAGAGGTCAGCAAAGGTCACGTGGCCCAAATTTGCACAGCAGATTGTGGCCCACCCAGTAGAGCTAGAGCGCTAAAAATGGCACCAATCGACTCGCCAGCATCTAATCTTACTTTCCCAACACGCATTTGACCTCTCAAGGTCATGCGATGACCTAAGGTCATTTGTGGGCTATGTCGAAAATACACTTGCACAGCAGTTTTCGAGTAAATGGATTGACCGAATTCCAAATCAAAGCACATCATCGGGTAGCCCATAGGCCGTAGTAACTTTCCTTAAGAACCGCTTTTCGATATGTGACCCCGTTTGACCTTGGCAGGTCAAAATGTGCAAATAAACGACACTCAATACGTCGCAGCCCGGATTCAGCCCAGATTCGGGACACCTCCGATCAAGCTGAAACTCGCACACAATGTAGGCCATGACATGCCCAATTCACAGTCCAAGTCATTCGGTGGCACTCCCAGCCGTTTGACCTACAGAGGTCAGCAAAGGTCACGTGGCCCAAATTTGCACAGCAGATTGTGGCCCACCCAGTAGAGCTAGAGCGCTAAAAATGGCACCAATCGACTCGCCAGCATCTAATCTTACTTTCCCAACACGCATTTGACCTCTCAAGGTCATGCGATGACCTAAGGTCATTTGTGGGCTATGTCGAAAATACACTTGCACAGCAGTTTTCGAGTAAATGGATTGACCGAATTCCAAATCAAAGCACATCATCGGGTAGCCCATAGGCCGTAGTAACTTTCCTTAAGAACCGCTTTTCGATATGTGACCCCGTTTGACCTTGGCAGGTCAAAATGTGCAAATAAACGACACTCAATACGTCGCAGCCCGGATTCAGCCCAGATTCGGGACACCTCCGATCAAGCTGAAACTCGCACACAATGTAGGCCATGACATGCCCAATTCACAGTCTAAGTCATTCGGTGGCACTCCCAGCCGTTTGACCTACAGAGGTCAGCAAAGGTCACGTGGCCCAAATTTGCACAGCAGATTGTGGCCCACCCAGTAGAGCTAGAGCGCTAAAAATGGCACCAATCGACTCGCCAGCATCTAATCTTACTTTCCCAACACGCATTTGACCTCTCAAGGTCATGCGATGACCTAAGGTCATTTGTGGGCTATGTCGAAAATACACTTGCACAGCAGTTTTCGAGTAGATGGATTGACCAAATTCCAAATCAAAGCACATCATCGGGTAGCCCATAGGCCGTAGTAACTTTCCTTAAAAACCGCTTTTCGATATGTGACCCCGTTTGACCTTGGCAGGTCAAAATGTGCAAATAAACGACACTCAATACGTCGCAGCCCGGATTCAGCCCAGATTCGGGACAGCTCCGATCAAGCTGAAACTCGCACACAATGTAGGCCATGACATGCCCAATTCACAGTCCAAGTCATTCGGTGGCACTCCCAGCCGTTTGACCTACAGAGGTCAGCAAAGGTCACGTGGCCCAAATTTGCACAGCAGATTGTGGCCCACCCAGTAGAGCTAGAGCGCTAAAAATGGCACCAATCGACTCGCCAGCATCTAATCTTACTTTCCCAACACGCATTTGACCTCTCAAGGTCATGCGATGACCTAAGGTCATTTGTGGGCTATGTCGAAAATACACTTGCACAGCAGTTTTCGAGTAGATGGATTGACCGAATTCCAAATCAAAGCACATCATCGGGTAGCCCATAGGCCGTAGTAACTTTCCTTAAGAACCGCTTTTCGATATGTGACCCCGTTTGACCTTGGCAGGTCAAAATGTGCAAATAAACGACACTCAATACGTCGCAGCCCGGATTCAGCCCAGATTCGGGACACCTCCGATCAAGCTGAAACTCGCACACAATGTAGGCCATGACATGCCCAATTCACAGTCCAAGTCATTCGGTGGCACTCCCAGCCGTTTGACCTACAGAGGTCAGCAAAGGTCACGTGGCCCAAATTTGCACAGCAGATTGTGGCCCACCCAGTAGAGCTAGAGCGCTAAAAATGGCACCAATCGACTCGCCAGCATCTAATCTTACTTTCCCAACACGCATTTGACCTCTCAAGGTCATGCGATGACCTAAGGTCATTTGTGGGCTATGTCGAAAATACACTTGCACAGCAGTTTTCGAGTAGATGGATTGACCGAATTCCAAATCAAAGCACATCATCGGGTAGCCCATAGGCCGTAGTAACTTTCCTTAAGAACCGCTTTTCGATATGTGACCCCGTTTGACCTTGGCAGGTCAAAATGTGCAAATAAACGACACTCAATGCGTCGCAGCCCGGATTCAGCCCAGATTCGGGACACCTCCGATCAAGCTGAAACTCGCACACAATGTAGGCCATGACATGCCCAATTCACAGTCCAAGTCATTCGGTGGCACTCCCAGCCGTTTGACCTACAGAGGTCAGCAAAGGTCACGTGGCCCAAATTTGCACAGCAGATTGTGGCCCACCCAGTAGAGCTAGAGCGCTAAAAATGGCACCAATCGACTCGCCAGCATCTAATCTTACTTTCCCAACACGCATTTGACCTCTCAAGGTCATGCGATGACCTAAGGTCATTTGTGGGCTATGTCGAAAATACACTTGCACAGCAGTTTTCGAGTAGATGGATTGACCGAATTCCAAATCAAAGCACATCATCGGGTAGCCCATAGACCGTAGTAACTTTCCGTAAAACCGCTTTTCGATATGTGACCCCGTTTGACCTTGGCAGGTCAAAATGTGCAAATAAACGACACTCAATACGTCGCAGCCCGGATTCAGCCCAGATTCGGGACACCTCCGATCAAGCTGAAACTCGCACACAATGTAGGCCATGACATGCCCAATCCACAGTCCAAGTCATTCGGTGGCACTCCCAGCCGTTTGACCTACAGAGGTCAGCAAAGGTCACGTGGCCCAAACTTGCACAGCAGATTGTGGCCCACCCAGTAGAGCTAGAAAGCTAAAAATGGCACCAATCGACTCGCCAGCATCTAATCTTACTTTCCCATTACTCATTTGACCTCTCAAGGTCATGCGATGACCTAAGGTCATTTCTGGGCTATGTCGAAAATACACTTGCACAGCAGTTTTCGAGTAGATGGATTGACCGAATTCCAAATCAAAGCACATCATCGGGTAGCCCATAGGCCGTAGTAACTTTCCTTAAAAACCGCTTTTCGATATGTGACCCCGTTTGACCTTGGCAGGTCAAAATGTGCAAATAAACGACACTCAATACGTCGCAGCCCGGATTCAGCCCAGATTCGGGACAGCTCCGATCAAGCTGAAACTCGCACACAATGTAGGCCATGACATGCCCAATTCACAGTCCAAGTCATTCGGTGGCACTCCCAGCCGTTTGACCTACAGAGGTCAGCAAAGGTCACGTGGCCCAAATTTGCACAGCAGATTGTGGCCCACCCAGTAGAGCTAGAGCGCTAAAAATGGCACCAATCGACTCGCCAGCATCTAATCTTACTTTCCCAACACGCATTTGACCTCTCAAGGTCATGCGATGACCTAAGGTCATTTGTGGGCTATGTCGAAAATACACTTGCACAGCAGTTTTCGAGTAAATGGATTGACCGAATTCCAAATCAAAGCACATCATCGGGTAGCCCATAGGCCGTAGTAACTTTCCTTAAGAACCGCTTTTCGATATGTGACCCCGTTTGACCTTGGCAGGTCAAAATGTGCAAATAAACGACACTCAATACGTCGCAGCCCGGATTCAGCCCAGATTCGGGACACCTCCGATCAAGCTGAAACTCGCACACAATGTAGGCCATGACATGCCCAATTCACAGTCTAAGTCATTCGGTGGCACTCCCAGCCGTTTGACCTACAGAGGTCAGCAAAGGTCACGTGGCCCAAATTTGCACAGCAGATTGTGGCCCACCCAGTAGAGCTAGAGCGCTAAAAATGGCACCAATCGACTCGCCAGCATCTAATCTTACTTTCCCAACACGCATTTGACCTCTTAAGGTCATGCGATGACCTAAGGTCATTTGTGGGCTATGTCGAAAATACACTTGCACAGCAGTTTTCGAGTAAATGGATTGACCGAATTCCAAATCAAAGCACATCATCGGGTAGCCCATAGGCCGTAGTAACTTTCCTTAAGAACCGCTTTTCGATATGTGACCCCGTTTGACCTTGGCAGGTCAAAA